TGAATCCAGGAGGACACCCAGATTGCGCACCCTATCCGAGGGGGCCAAAGTTTCGCCCCCTATAGTCAGCGATGGAATCAGCTGACTATGCCGAGGCGCCGGTAGCCACAGCCACTCGGTCTTGGAAGGGTTGAGCCTGAGTCTGTTCCTCCCCATCCAGACCCTCACGGCCTCCAGACACCGGGTCATCACGTCAAGGACAAGCTCTTAAGGACAGATGGGTAGTGTATGTTGCTTCATGAAATGGTATTAATATTGAGCAAATAACCAGTTAAGTCTTGGGCTGAAGATCTGTATTACTATACAAAATCAGTGATCATTCACCATCCTAAAGGGGAAATGGAGAAGATATACAGTACTATGATCTTACCTCAAATCTTCTTTTTTCCTTCATTCCTTACCAATTTAAGAATTTTACTTCCACACTCTCCATTATCTCTGCTTGTTGCAAAGCACACGAATAGTATTGTGTGACCGTGAGACACTCCAACTGTCATAAATGCAAGGATTGGTCTCAAAGGAAGGTTTTTTTTACACTATTGTAGCTTTGAATGTTTGCTAAATGAGGCAATTAGTAAGCCAGGACTACTTGCATGCTGATTAGTGTACTCATTAAACCATGTTGATCTAAATCTTGATAGCCTGAACATGTTTTTCTGGTTTGTGCAGGGGGACTCATCATACCTCATTGGACCAGAGTTCCCCTCCCCAGATAGGAAGTCCGGGAACACCAGTCTCTTGCAAGTTACCTTTACTCAGCACTTATGATGGTAGAGATGACTTTCCACTCCGGAAAACTGGTTAGTAAATGTCAATGGTTGTAGAATATACAAAAGGAGGGCAGTTAAATGGCTTTCTACACCTTAAATGTACTAGCTTGTGAAGACAATGGCTGGGCATGAGAAAAGGAAAGATTCATTTAATCTGATGAACTACAAATAAGAAAGGAATACTGATTCAAGTATCTTACAAAATAGTACATCTACAATGTTAAAGCCCAGCTTCTGACTGAAAATCAAACTAGTGTACAAAATCCTCATTCTACTAAAATATAAGAATTTCAATCTTACATTAGAGAACTAGATAAGCCTACTGTAAAGAATGACTTCACAAACAACCTGTTTTTAGATGCAGTCAGTTCTCCCTTGTAAGAAATCAGCTGTTCAGATGGTAACTGTAACAGCTTAGCTGGTTTTTGCAAAAGCTTCTCTGCAGTCAAACTATGTGGAAATAAACAGCCCAGCTGCTATGTTTATCAGGCAGAGGATGATGAACAAGTGAGAATAAGCTGCATCCACATACACAGGCCCTGTCAGTCCTGTTCAATCACTTGAAGAATGTGTCTAAAAAAATGTCTTCTGCTCACATTCTTTATTTCTTAATAGAGTCATCCTGAGCCTGGTGCCTTCCAGATATCATTGACTTTGAGATTTAGCTGTGCTGGCTGGAGTTGGCATTTGGTAGACCTACAGGGCATTGTATTGGGAACAAGTGTTTTATTTTTATGTTTCAGAAATACAGAATAAATATATTTGTTTAAAAAAAGGCTCATTTCTTGAAGCAATAAGATCTGGTAAGTGTAGATCATGGGTGTCAAACTCGCAATGTCATGTGATGTGTTGCAACATATCATGACTTTTTTGCCATTGCCGGCAATGGGGTGGGTGTGGTTTTGCTATGATGCATCCGGCCTGCGGGCCAGCAGTTTGACACCCCTGGTGTAGATACAGTTGGCTTCTTCCCCCTCCACAATTTGCTTCCTTGCCTAGGACTTTCTACTACAGTAGAATAATGACCACCTTGGTTTTCCTGCTTGCCTCTTCCTTTCAGCCTCAGAACCCAATTTAAAAGTGCGCTCACGATTAAAACAGAAGGTGGTGGAGAGGAGAAGCAGTCCTCTGTTGAGGAGGAAAGATGGGACAGTCATCAGCACCTTCAAAAAAAGAGCAATTGAAATCACAGGTGAGAGAGGACTTTAGCCCAGCTAAGGGCAAGTACTATTTGATTTTGAAAAAAGGTGGATGAAACATTCTGTTCTTCAGTCCTCTCCCCAAGTATGTCAAGAGGGGAGAAAAAAGACTGGGTAAAAAAGAAAAAAATGTGCACTGGTATACTCTGTGTGCTACAAAGTGGCTGATGAAATAGGACAGTGGAGGTCAAAACATTGGGGTTGAAGGAGAAATTGGGCAAATTAGATGAAACAATTTGTTAAATGTAATTGGAAAACCATGTTTTCCTAAAGAAAGGTGCTACAGAGAGCCTTGTACAATTTTCCCTCACTTTTCTCTCTTTTCTGCTTGAAAGGTAGAGCTTTCTGTTTTAAACTTCCTTCATTGATTAGTGATATCTTAGTTCAGAGTGCTCTGGTTAAATTATGTTGTTTTTATTTTAATCATGTATTGCTGAAAAAGCTGGAAGCAAGTCTGAATTACTTTTGCAGGTAATTAAAATAATGGTTTGTTTGACTAGTTCCAGTTTTCCTGCCATTTTTAGCTTCTGTTGCCTTATGATAGATTTCACCTACAGATAGAGACATTAATGAGGCTCAAAACCAAATTTGAACTAAACCAGGAAATTACATTAACCATGGCTAGATTCACATACTGCATTAAGCCATCATATGGTCTGCTTGAACATAGTCATTGTGGAAGTTTTATGGTGTGGGGGATGGAAGTCCAGGACCAGGCACAACTATTTATTTATGCATGTATCTGGTCCTTAGACCCTTATGACAACTACAGTATGCTGTCAAATTCCAGCATAACACTAATACTAAATAAATTGTATTACTGTATAGATATTGCAACATGTGAATTCAGATATGACTAAAAATCAAATTAAAAGGGGGCACAAAAACTCAGGCCAGAGAATGTGAATGTCATGAGAATTATGATAAAATTTCTTTTTTAAGAGCATGAAAGAGGAAGAAATGTCTGAATATTTTTATCTTAATCTTGCTCTAATAGTATGATGATATATACTTATCAAGAAAGTAGTAATCCAAAGACTCTTTACAATATATTGCAATGGAAGAGGAGGGGTAGGTGAGTTTAAGAGCAGATTGAAAAAACATAGGCATGAATATGTGTGTGATGAATTTAGCACTGCATTCATTTTAGATGTATCACTGATAATCCAGACAGTGGTAATTTATTTGGTGGCCATTTAAATTGTGTTGTAGAACACTCTGAAGACATTTTTGTGGGAAAGGAAGGAGTATAGAAGGTTGGCATATTAGCTCTCAGCGACTTGAGGCTCCTTTCTGGAAACTAGAGTTCTCTCTTGTTTCTTTTTTGTAATGTAATGCATCTTCTACTGTATATTATAGTTAATGTAGAAACGTGAATTTGAAATTTCAGAAACAAAGCTAGGGCAGAAAAGAAAGCATTTTTGTGTGGTGGACTCATGCCTTACATACATGATTCCTGTCTTCTCTTTCTTCACAATTCTAAAACAAAGAAATCTAAACACTGTGACTAGAGAATCACAAAAAGAGGCAATGGTCAATTTACAGATTGATATGGTTTCGGTAAACCATCTTGTAAACAACCACCTGCAAGCTTCTCCATTATTAGTGAAAAGAACTACTTCCTCACTGGAAAACTGTTAGAAACTAAGAAAATGTACAGTATGTATTGGGGGAAAATAGGGAATCATTAGTCACTGAAATTCTGTAATGGTACCCTTTCATTTCAATAAAGCTTGTAAAAGCAAACTGAGAATCTTGTTTGGAATATTTTTTTTCAGTTGAGACAGCTGCCCAGTTAACAGCATTGTGAACTACATACATGGGAACGCTAGGGATTTTTTTTTTTTGCAGCCTGTGTAAATTGTATGCTGTGTAACACAATGTACAGTCCTTTATTGCATGCTAACATTCTTTGGTGCTTTGTTCTGTTAGAAGGGAAAACCAAACCAACAATTGAATTTCACTTTACTAACATACGTTTTTCCAATATTTCTTTGCTACCATGTGGATTGAAACTTGATTTTGCTTCAAAATACAAAGTGAGATTTTCAACAGCCTACTTGGGCACAACAGCATCTTAATTCAGTGGAGAATTTCAGTGCAAGGATTGACATGGTGGCAACCTCTCCCCCCCAAAAAAAAACCAAAAAACCTTTCATTGCAGTGTCTTCAATGTGCAACAGTGCTCCTGGATCTGGCCCAAGCTCCCCAAACAGCTCCAACAGCGTCATTGCAGAAAATGGGCTTACTGGGTCAGTGCCTAATATACATACTGAGGTAAGGCTGGTGAAAGAGTGCTGCTGCTTGCTGTGGTATGGCTATTTTATCTCTTTTCTTGTCTTTGTCTTCAGTGGGCTAAATTGGTTTGGTTCTATTTTTCAACAGTTTTGACTCTTCTTACCAATACCGAATGTCTCCCACAATTACATATTCAGCCCATTATTTGTTGCTTTGAATCATAGAGTGTTGGGATTTGGGCCAGAGAGATCTGGGCTCAGATAGGTACCCTATCTGAGGCTCCCCAATAGACTTTGCCTGTCATTATTTTAGCCTCACAGAATAAATGTAAGAATAGCAATGAGCTAATTATGTACCTTAAATCTTTCTTTTAAGTGTGCATATGAAAACCATTTAAAACTAAATCTCTCTGCAGCCAATTGCTCTTTTGATTTCATATTATCCATGTTACAGTTCTAACAACTCTTGTAAGTTAATTGTTTTTCTTTACCTGCCGTTTCTTTCCTGTAAAATGCTTCTTGTGCTGAGATCCATAAAGGGTAAAATCAAATAAAATTTGGCCACAGTCTGGGTTTATATCTGTTCCATATTCTCAATATGGCCTTTCTAATATAATCTCAATATCTACATTAACCTTAACTTTATCATACCATTGGAAAACATGTCATCTGAACCTCGGATTGTGCTCTTCCGATTCTAAAATTCTCTTTATTTTTCAGCAAAACCCAGTCTTTCATCCAGGCTAAACAGCACACTGCAAAATACAATTCTAATCAAGAAGTCCTCCTCCTCGTTCCTTTGCATCTTGAAATTTTTTATATTTAATTTTTGTTTTTCCCTTGCCATACAAACCTAGATATATCTTTCTACCTTTGTTTAAATAATATCAGTTGTCATAATAGGTATTCTTTAAAACAAAAACATCATACTTGACAAAACATTTTTATCACAGAAATTCTCCCCAATAATGACAATTCTAATTTCTCCCATCTTAACATGTCCCTCTTGATTTCATTCCATCTCTTACCATAAGTATTGTGGTATAACATACAATTTAGTGGCCGTAGTGTACTATGTAAATAAAATAAGAAAAAAAGTATTTTGTGTTTTTATATCTCATGATAGATCTCTGCTCTGTTTTCCCTTGTTAATGAGGTCGCATTAAGGAGCTGGAGGAATATCAAGGGGTTTTTTTTCTTGCTCTACAGTACATGTTGTGGGGGATCCTTGGTGCTCTCTGAGCTTGGTTGTTTTCTTGCAGATGTTTCATTACCCAAACTAGGTAACATCATCAGTGCTAGTAAGGAGTGGGGTTTGCTCTCAGTTTATATTCTAGAGACTTGCCCTGTCAGTGTTGGTGGGGTGGTCTTGGAGGTTCTTTGATTGGGCTGTTTACTGTTGGCTTGTTTGGCAGTTCCTTGATTGGGGTATTGAATACTTGATTGTTGGTCTGATGTTAATCTTGGTGTTAATTTATGCTCATCTGGGTGTTGATTGCTGGTGGGGAGGTGTTTTGGTCTTTTTGTTCCCTTTTTGGCTTGTTGATTGTCTCTTGCACAGTATGTACAGTAGATGTTGTTTATGTCTATGCGTCTATTGATGGCCAATTTGTCAGAGTGCCAGGCTTCTAGGAATTCTCTAGCATTTTTGGACTTGGCTTGGTCTAGGATGGTCACAGTTTCCCAATTAAAACTATGATTAAGTCTGTCCGTATGTTGTGAAATTTAAGAGTTTTCATCATGTCTTCTGACTGCTAGTTGGTGTTCATGGATACATTCTGCTAGTCTTCTGCCTGTTTGTCCTACATAGTAGCTGTTGCAATCTTTACACTGTATGTTGTAGATGAGTCCTGTTTTTTTCTTCCAGGGAGGCTGTGTCTTTTGGTTTACTTAGGATGTTTTGAAGGGCTTTAGTAAGCTTGTGTGTTACGCTGATTCCCTGTGCTTGTAATAGTCTGTTGGTGGTTTCTGAGATGTTTTTGATGTATGGCAGTGTTATCCTTTTTTACGGCTTGTGCTGGTTGTGCTATATTGGATTGAGTGGTCAGGTACTTTTTGATGAAGTTGCATGGATATCCATTTTGTTGGAAGATGTTATATAGATTCTCTGTTTCCTTTTTCTGTTGTTCAGGGTTGCTGGTGTGTTTTTACACTCATCTAAATAGAGTTCTTACACAGCTTCTCTTGTGGGAGGTTGGGTTATTACTTTGGTAGTGAAGCACTTGATTGATGTGGGTGGTTCTTCTGTACACTTGTGTTTCTAGTTTGCCATTGTGGTCTCTGCTGATAAGGATATCCAGGAAGGGTAGGTGTCATCTACATATCTGATCCCTTCATTTCAACCCTGAGCTACAGATATTCTCCTTTATCGGTATCTGCATTTTCTTATCTACCCCCCACCCTTTCCTTGTCCCCTAATCCTTCTTTTCCTTTTATATAGATATTGCCCCGAGCTGTCACCGTGGATGGATCAGCCAGCCAACTCAGCCTATACACTTCTCCATCACTGCCCAATATCTCCTTAGGACTCCAGGCTACTCTCACAGTCACAAATTCACACCTCAATGTGAGTATGAGCTCTACCCCCAAACGTTTTGGAAATTTGTAGATATGGAGATAGTAAGTAAATGAAATGAAACAAATGAAATACTGAAATTGAGTAAATGAAAACTATAGTGTAGGCCCTACAATAAAGTATCACAATTGAAAAATAAAGAACACAGAGTTCCTCCTAAAACTCACCCTACAATCTTATGTCACCCCACACACCATGTTAAATGTGACCATACAAAGCGTTGACTGTCCTACACTTGTGAGAGCAAAAAGCTAAAGAGTAGATACAGATATTTGTTTATTTTGATGGGTTTTAAACTACTATAAATATAGCAAATTTCAACATTTCAAAACATGGAGTTCATGTCTAGTTGGCATAGCTAACACACAGTGTAAGGTCCTACCTCAGCTACTCCCTCAGGAAAGCACAACTGTTGAAACAGACATCATTTCAAAAGGATCTTTTACTGAGAGAAAGTGATTGCAAAGACGTAAGGCAGAATCTGGCATTCCTGCGCAAAAGCGTTAAGCTAAAAGTCCCATCTCTCCAGCCCCACCCCAATGCCCCAGTCCATCAGGAGCCAATCCGCTGGCATGAAGATGTGAGAACTTCGAGCCGAAAAGGTGTTAACCGGCCGTTCTCTGGCGCCTCGTTCTCTTGCTAGCCAGCAGGAGTTAAAACAGTTGGCCCTGTGTAAGGTCCTGCCTCAGCTAGCACTCCCAAAAAAGCAGAACTCCTGAAACTGGCATCATTACAAAAGGAACTTTTATTGAGAGATAGTGATTACAGAATAGCAAGGCAAGATCTGAATAATTCCCGCACAAAACATTACATTAAAACTCTCCTTTCAAACCCCAACTGTGCCCAACTGTCCAGTATGATTTCAGTCAATCCACAGGTGTGAAGTTGTTATGGGAACCGGACTGATAAACTGTAGTTCTCACACGTTTCGTTTTCCTCCCGGTCTCTTCCCAGCAGAGTAGCGATAAGACAGATGGCACCAGGCACATTCCTGCTCCTGTTCACACCCAGAGAGATGCATGAAAGGTGAAAAGAACAAAGTAAAGGAAATACATCCCAAAGCCCACAGAGCTTCCCCCCTCCCCAAAGAGCAAAACCTCCCCCCTCCCAACAGAATGGCAGTACTCGAAAAATAGATAGTTTGAGGGTCTGACACCCTGAGGGCTTTTCCCCCTCCCTAATTCCCATGCAGATACATCAAAGCGAAAGTAGGAACAAAGCAGAAACATCCTCAATCCACAATAGCGTGTGCTCCCCCTCCCTTTTTGAATGGCAGCGTTCCAATAGGGACCTGACACACAGGATGGTGTTTCCTCCCCTTCTCTCTCTGTTCATTTCAGTAGTTGGCAGTACCTGTCTGACCTGGCTCAGGAGTTAAGCAGAATGAAGCTTGATAAGATCTTGGATGGGAAGAGAATACGAGGGCTGTCAATTAGACTTGGAAGTTAAAAGAAAAAAATCTTAGAAGAAGCAGGGACAATTGTTGCCAAGAGAACAACATGGGTGTGTCCACATAAATACCAGGAGTTGAGCTTAACTGAAAATATACCTTGTTTCCTACCGTGTATTCAGCCAGTTTGAAGTTCTGCTTATGGCAGTGGCCACTGCAATAGCATGTGATACTGAGTTTTGCACACTTTGTTTTATCAATTGCTGATCAATTTCTGTAAATACTGTTTGTATGATACAATACAATATACTTTATTGATTAGTCAATTGACCATATCAAATATGAGCATCAGCCACAGTAAAATACAATAAAATGTGATAAGATACATTAGAGATAAAATAGCTATGGTGAGATAAAATACAATAAAATATAGTAGATAAGATAAAGTGAAGATGAAAGAGTAAGATAAAATAAGGTAAAATAGAAGAAGAAAACTATTATAAAGTTGATCGTGTCAAATATATAAAACTGATACAAAAATTCAAATAGTTAAAAAGAAAACTTCATAAAAGATTGTCACCCCTATAGTTACCTCCAATCTTATCAAGGTAATCTGTCCTCTTTGAGATGGCATTTGAAGTGAAGAGTGTAGTCTTATTGATGATGTGCAGTGTAAGGACCCATCTCAGCTAACCACTCAAGAAAGCAGAACTCTTAAAACAGGCATTGTCTCGAAAGGAACTTTTATTAAGAGCTAGTGACAGTAAGAAAGTCAAGGCGAGATCTGGGGAAAATCTCACTCAAATGGTATAGCTAAACTAGCAATCTTCCTCCTCCCACCAAAGTCATAATGTCCATTTGAAATCCAGCCAATCCACAGGTGGCACGATGTTTGGGTAACTGGCACAAGTTGGCTCACATCTCAAGGTCTTCTCCAGTTTTGTTTCTCCGTAACTGTCTCCCTGATAAGGGAGACACATTCTTCTCTCAAATGGATAGAGGCGCGAGAGGAAGGGTAGAAAGCGAAAGTTATCCCAAGCAAGCCCCCCCCCTCCCAGCAGAATGGCAGGTCCCAAACAGGAACACATATGCAAGGAAAACAATAAGGGTTTGGGGATCTGACATACGCCCCCCCTAGAAAAACAGGACATCCACCTAGAAAACAGAAAGGAAGGAAAAGAAGAAAACAATACAGATATATCAATCAGGTTTATCAGGATATTTAGCATGGAAACATTTGAGAAGTCTAGGGGCTCTAACATGTTTCTTGTACACCCACTCATTCTCAGCGGAAGGGAGATTCTTCCAAGCTACTAGGTACTGTGTTACCTCATGATGTGTTCGAGAATCTAAAATGTCTTTAATTTCAAAGTGTTCTTCACCCTCAACCATGATAGGTGTGGGCACCTGAGGTGCAGGAGGTCTAAGGTTAGAAATGACCTCCGGTTTGAGTAAACTGCAGTGGAAAACAGGGTGGATTTTCCGTAGGTTCTTTGGCAACTCCAACTCAACCGTCACAGGATTGATGATGCGTTTGACAGGAAAAGGTCCTATAAATTTAAGGCCTAATTTCTTTGAGGCTTGTAAAGATCACAAATACTTAGTGGAGAGGTATACCTTTATATGGTTTTTGTTCCACCCTCCGTTTATTGACTTGAGTCTTATAGGCCTCCCTGGCTTCATCCAGGGCTTTCCTGACTACTGGCCAGGTATTTTGTAACTGTTTAATCCATTCCTGCAAGGAGGGGATTTCAGGTGATTTGGTAGGAAGTTCAGGCTTGGCCATGGACGTTTGACCATTAGCTACCTGAAATGGAGTGAAACCTGTACTGGAGTGTACAGCGTTATTATAAGCAACTTCAGCAAACGGTAATAAGTTGGACCAATTGTCCTGCTGATAATTAATAAAACATCTCAGGTATTGTTCTAGAACTGAGTTCAGTCTCTCTGTCCCCCCATTCATTTGAGGATGATGGGAAGATGACAACCCTTGACTAGAACCCATCAAGTCCAGAAAGGCTTTCCAGAACTTAGAGGTGAATTGAACCCCTCTGAGATTATACGTTGTGGGGCCCCATGAAATCAGTATACATTTTGCACAAAAAGTTTAGCTAAAGTCTTTGCAGTTGGGATCTTGGGGCATGGAATGAAATGAACTTGTCTAGAGAACAGATCCGTTACAACCCAAATTACAGTGTTTCCAGCACTTTCAGGCAGTTCCACAATAAAATCCATAGAGATCTCTCTCCAGGGTGCTGATGGACTTGCTACCGGTTGAAGCAGTCCTTGAGATTTTCCTTGACTCCGTTTAGCCGCTGCACATGTGGGGCAGCTAGCTACATAGCTTTCTATGTCCTTTTTTAATGCAGGCCACCAAAACTGCCTCTTAATGAGATGTAAGGTTTTCACAAATCCAAAATGCCCAGCAGTTTTGGAGTCATGTCCTGCTTGCATTACTTTAAGTCTTAAGGCTGCTGGGACATAAAGTTTTTCCCCAATCCAGGCTAATCCATCCTTTAACACACACAGGTTATTGTGGTTTCGAAACCACTCATCAGATTCTAACGCAGTTTTAAAATCCTGCAACAAAGTTTTTCCCACAGGAGCCACAGGTCTCGATTGGGCCCTGGTGGTTACAGGGGCTGCTAACTGATGAGGATATAAAAATGGTTTAGTCACTTCTGCTTTCTTGTTGTTCTATTGTGGTAGTCTGGACAATGCATCAGCCAAAAAATTATTTCCCCCAGGGAGGTAATGGATAGTGAAATTAAAATGATGAAAGTGTTGGGACCACCTTGCTTGTTTGGGCGAGAGTTTCCTGGGAGTTTTCATCTGGTTTCAAGCAGAGGAGATCTTCGGCCCATTTCTCAGCCTGGAACTCCTCCACGTGGGATTCAGTTGCGACTCCCCCGGCAGAGCAGCAGCTTCTCCGGGTTGAGTACTATGCAGATCTTGCCTTATGTAAGGACCCACCTCAGCTAACCACCCAAGAAAGCAGAACTCTTGAAACAGGCATTGTCTCAAAAGGAACTTTTATTAGGGGCTAATGACAGTAAGAAAGTCAAGGCGAGATCTGGGGAAAATCCCACTCAAACGGTATAGTTAAACTAGCAATCTTCCTCCTCCCACCAAAGTCATAATGTCCATTTGAAATCCAGCCAATCCACAGGTGGCACGATGTTTGAGTAACTGGCACAAGTTGGCTCACATCTCAAGGTCTTCTCCAGGTTTTTTTCTCCGTAACTGTCTCCCTGATAAGGGAGACACATTCTTCTCTCAAATGGATAGAGGCGGGAGAGGAAGGGTAGAAAGTGAAAGTTATCCCAAGCAAGTCCCCCCCTCCCAGCAGAACGACAAGCCGCAAACAGGAACACATATGCAGGGAAAACAATAAGGGTTTTGGGATCTGACATGCAGGTTCGTTCCCTGCAGTAAGTAAAACTGTTTCTCCTGGGTGTCCCACTATTTTTTAGTTTTTAAATAAGGGTCTAAATAAGTGGCCCTTTCTGGAGAGTACAATTTGTAGTCAATAAGAATGTGTCCAGTGTCTTCAGTGGCTGGTGCTCCACAGATGCACAATCTTTCTTCAAATGAAACTCCATGAAACCTCCCATGTCTTATGATGTAGTCCAGTTGTTTGAAGCAAGCTGTAGAAAAAAGTCTTCTGAGATGCTGAGGCATGTAAGTTGTTAAATATTTTTCTAACTGGGAGGCACTTCAGAGACTTGACACATTTAAGTGTTGCAGTAGGATCTTTGGCAGCCACATCAATAACTCTTTGTTTGAAAGCTTCCTTGGTCTTTAGCTCTGATTGGACTAGGAATTGGATGGAGAATCCATATTGAGAGATGACATTTGAAAGTTGGGTGGCCCAAGCACGAGGTAGCTTGTTGTATAATTGCTCTTTGAAGCAGAGTTTGGGTAGTCTACCTGGGTCCATGGATAGGATCTTCAGCCAGTAGTTAAATACTTTGATTACTAAATGGCTTTGTATAGGGGGTATGATCACCTCTGCCCTTACTGCTGGGGCTGGTGTAGACGTATCCACCCCAAAGATACATTTCAGAAAAGTAGATTGCATCTGTTGCAGTAAGGGGGCATTTATATATCCCCACATGTTTGTGCCATGTATGATCATTGGGACTATTTTGCCATTATATACCTTTATGATTGGAATTTCTAGCTATACTTGGTAAGCTGCCTTATGGTGTTGGCACAGGCTGTAGCCCTTAAAGAGCTTCTCTTAAAATGTGGGAGGCAGGAATCTGTTTCTGTGAAAACAAGTCCTAAGTATTGATAGGACTTGTACTATGCATTCCCTATCCAGGCTCCAATTTTACCTGGTCCGCCTCTTCAGAAAAACAACTATCTTAGATTTGCACTTACTGATGTTCAGGTAGTTGTGTGTGTAGTATGTACTAAACCTGCTCAGCAGTCTTCCCTACCTGGGTGTGTGACATCAATACCATGTCATCTGCATAAAGCAGAATGTTTGCATGTTTATTTTTAACTTTAGACATATGCATATTGTTAGAGCAAAGGGACTTTGCAGTGTTGATGTACAGGTTGCATAAAAAGCCCGCCAAATAATCATATTGGGGAACGTAGTTGCTTGCATACCTTTTATGGGTGGGGCGTTTAACTTTGTATTGGAAAATTGTTACTTGTGTATCCAGACTTGGTTTCACTCTTGACCGTGCTGATACTTTGTAACTAATAAACATGTTCTTTGAGGAATTTGCAAGCCTCGGAGTTCTGCTTTATTCGTCTCTGTCTGTTAGAACCATGACATTAAACCAAGTCTCATAAAACTTTGTTTTCTCAGGGTGCTGGGCCCCGACCGCCTACCTACTCACTTTTGGGATAGCGGTAAAGACTCAGCGAAGATTCAAAATGGAGAAGAGTGAAACCGCTGCTAGCCGCAACGGAACTCCAGCTGTCAGAGTGCAAACTGACGCTCCAGCCACTGAGGAGGCGTCACTGGCAGGGGCTCGGCCGAAGGCCAGGTTAATCCAACCTGGGAAACTGGTACTGCAGGAAGGAGCTACGATCCTGGCGGACCTCTATCAAGCCAAGGCTGCCCCTCAGTGCAGGAGCACTTCTCTAACCGCTGGAGAGGAGCTTCTATTGCTACTGTCCCAGGGTTCTTCATCTGCAGATAGCAAGAAAGGAAAGGGGTCAATGGGATGGGATGACTCCGGAGAGTGGAGGTTCCAGTTCGCAGTCCACAGCCCCTCGCTCGAACAGCTGAAGGAGAGGTTTGGCAGGCTGTGATGTCAAGCCCTGTATCCTAGCCAAGCCCGCTGCCGTGGCCTCAGGATGCCTGTCCTAGAGCCCAGCCAAGAGAAGTCCGGAGAGTGGTTCGGCCACGTCCCCAGGACCAGCAAGCCGCCCAAGCCCAATAGCAGGTGCAGGTGGCTCCCCCAAGGTTCGAGCCACCTCCCATCAAGCCCACCTTTGATGGGGACCCCGAAAAGCTGACCTTCTTACTAAACCAGGTGTGGGCTCATTTAGATCGCTACGCTTATGCCTACCTGGATGGGTCTATGATGGTGAATGCTGTGGCGGCAAATTTAGAGGGGGAAGCAGCTGACTAGGTGATCAACCTCCATGATGAAGGGGCTCCTGAATTACACAATATTAACCTATTCATGGAGCAACTAAGGGGTCATTTTGAAGACGAATCCCGAGCCCTGCTAGCCAAGAAGGAGATCCACTGCCTGAAGCAAAGAGGTTGCCCCGCTAAGGAGTACGTTTGTGAATTCAGGAGAGTTGCTGGTCGGCTTGGGCAGTGGCCAGAATGGTCACTGATCAACTACTTCAAGCAGGGGCTAGATCAGAACTTACTTCAAGCCTGCATCATTCGGGGTTTTCCTAACCTATTGCGTGAGTGGTACAGCATGGCGATGGTGCTGGACATTAAGTTGGACCACCCTAGAAAGTCAAGCACCACTGAGCCCAATCTGCCCCATGTCCAGGAGAAATGCCTTTATGGCCAACATTCCCAAGCCACTGCGTCTACCAGCACCTCCCAAGTACCAGCCAAGGCTCCTATCAAGTGCTACCGGTGCAGTCAGATGAGCCACTGTGCTGTGGGGTGCCCAGCTCCTAACCCTCAACCCAGGAGCATGCCAGTCACCGTCGCAAAGCCACGAAAAGCTCCCAGAGGGGGAAGAGAAAAGTCAAACTGGGCACGTCAGGACCCGAGCATCGAGGCCAAAACCTGATCCGAGCCACAGCAGATGCCGGCACCTTACAACAGTGACGAGGAAGGTGAGGAGGACCCCGTGGTGAGTCAGCCCATTCCCTCCTTCGCCATTCCCGCTAGGCTAATAGTGCCCAACTTGAGCATCCTAATAACTCGGGGTGCACTCGGTGCTTAATTAACCTACCCATCGTACTCAAACTGGGCATTCGAGCCAAACTACTGCCCCTACCCATGAGGTTTGAGCAAACCAATGGGTCCCTCATCGAAGGTACCTCTGCCATGCACCTAACAGAACCTGTGCATTTGGAAATGGGTTGGCATTGGGAAATCATCCGTTTTGTGGTTCTGAAGATGACTGAAGCAGTAATTTTGGGGCTAGCGTGCCTTGATAAATGGCATCCCAACATCTGGTGGAAGGAGGGAATGCGGAAGTTAAGACTGGGGACAGGACCCCTCCCACCTGCCATTGTCAATAAAATAAAGACACTGGCAATCAGCGAGATTTGAGGGGAGCCCCGCGAAACCCTAAAGACTGTAGCCAAAAAGCTGCTGGGGATTCAACTTGTCCCCACTGAGTACCGTGATTTGGTGGAAGCGTTTAGTGAAAAGGAATGTGACATCCTTCCCCCCACACTGGGCTACGGACTGTGCTATTGAAATTCTGCCTGGTGCCAAGCTCCCAAAACCAAAAATGTACTCTATGACGCCCAGAGAGATGAAAGAACTGAGAGATTACATCGATAAAAACTTAGCTCGGTGTTTCATTCAGCCAGTCAAATCACCCGTGGCTGCTCCTGTACTTTTCAAGGAAAAGAAAGATGGGTCTCTTATATTATGCATGGATTTTAAATATCTGAACATGGTCAGCATGGAAAATATGTACCCCCTCCCCCTGATGAAGGACATGTTAGCCCACCTGGCTAAAGGAAAAATCTTTACCAAGCTGGAAAGGCTTATTACCGGATCCAGATTAAGGAGGGGAATGAGTGGAAAACCGCCTTTAATTGCCCTTTGGAGAGCTTCCAATTTAAAGTTATGCCTTTTGGACTGCTGTGTTTATGCAATTGATAAATCAAGTGTTCCATGATCATTTATACAAGGGGGTTTGGGTTTATCTTGATGACATCCTTATTTCCCCCCAAACCATGGATGAACACATCAAATTGGTCCGTGAGGTACTAAAGAGACTGTTAAAAGCTAGACTTTATGCAAAGCTGTCAAAGTGTGAATTTCACCAGACACACCTTGACTATCTGGGGTATCGGATTTCAAATGAGATGGACCCTGCCAAAGTAAAAGTGGTACTAGAATGGCAACCCCCATGCACCTGTAAGCAGCTTCAAAATTTTCTGGGGTTTGCCAACTTTTATTGCCAATTGATTCCCTCTTTTGCAAAGATAGGCATGCCAACACTGATTTATTCAAAACAGGAAAAAGAGGGGGAAAACCCTGACCTTGTCAGCCATTAGCGTTCGAAAAACTAAAGAGACTCTTTGCAGCTGAACCAGTTCTTAAGCACCCTGACCCTGGACAACAATTCATCATTCAAGCCGATGCAAATTACGTGGCCGTGGGTAACATTCTCTTACAAAAAAATCACAGAGGGGAGTTACAACCCTGTGCTTACGTATACTTCCTGAAAATTAACTGACACCAAGAGGAGGTGGGCTGTTTGGGAGAAAGAGGCTTTTGCAGTTTGTTGGGTATTGCTGACATAGCGTCACTTCTTGGAAGGGGGGGGGAATACCTTTTGAGGTGTGGACTGATCACAAAAATTTGGAGGTTCTGAAAACCCCCTGCAAATGATCCCCGGAACAAGTTTGGTGGGCTCAGTACTTAAACCGTTTTAATTTCACCTTAAAATATTTTCCAGGGGGTAAGAATTTTTTGGCTGACGCCTTATCTAGAATGCCCCAGTTCAAGAGCCACCGAGAGGAAGTAATTAACTCCATTATTCCTCTGCCACAATCCACTTCTCAAATAACAACCAGATCGCAAACACGGAGACCCCCTGCTGGTCCTGACGATCGCTTACTGAAGGAACTAAAGGAGAAGTTAGACACTGATGCCTGGTTCAAAGACAACAAATCTCTTTTAACCCTAAGGGGGGGACTAGCCTGGAAGGGCTCTAAGTTATACCTCCCAGATGGCCTCAGACTCCAAGCACTGCAACAGAGTCATGATGCTAAGCAGGCGGGTCACTTTGGATTTTTGAAGACATTGCATCTGGTGCGGAGGCAATTTTGGTGGCCAGGAATGAAAAGAGACATTGAGAGTTATGAGAGTTGTGCCACCTGTACTGCCATGAAGAGGCATCCTGGGAAGCCCCCAGGATTGTTGCAACAATTTGCATATCCTTTCCAGCCTTGGGAGGAGATAACCATGGATTTTATAGTGGAGTTACCTTAGAGCAAGGGAAACACTGTAATATGGACTGTGATTGATCTATTTTCCAAACAGGCACATTTCATCCCTTGCTCAGGACTTCCCTCTGCCCAGAAGCTAACCAAGCTGTTTTTGAAACACATATATCGACTCCATGGTGCCCCAAAGCGGATTATTTCTGACAGAGGGGTCCAGTTTACTGTTACGTTCTGGAGGGAGTTAGTTAAACTGATTGAGTCTTCCCAGGGGCTTTCATCGGCTATTCATCTGAGTACTAATGGAGCTGCTGTGAAAGCTAACGCAATGGTGGAACAGTACCTCAGATGCTGTGTAAATTACCAACAGACTAATTGGGCTGATCTCCTGCCTTTCGCAGAGGTAGCCTACAATAACACTGTGCACGGTAGCACTGGACTCACCCCATTTAAAATAACAATGGGTCGAGATTTTGTGCCCATGCCTGAGTACCCCCAGGAGCCTCCTACTTCCCAGACTTTGGATCAATGGGTGACATCCTTCCAGGGGGTTTGGGTGAATGTGAAGAAAGCATTGACCAAGGCCACCAAGGTTTACAAGGAGCAAGCAGATAAATGACGCTCCCCTCAGAAACCTTTTCATGTTGGACAATTGGTTTATCTTTCAACAAAATATTTAAGGTTAAAGTTACCCAGTAGAAAATTGAGGCGAAAATTCCTTGGTCCTTTTCCCATCACTAAGATCATAAACCCTGTCACAGTGGAATTGAAACTTCCGCGATTGTTGGGAAAAGTTCACCCTGTGTTTCATTGCAGTCTATTGAAACCTGTGTCAGAATCCTCTTTAAGACCTGTTCCAAAGGAGCCGCTGGGTCCAGTAGTGGTAGAGGGGGAGACACATTATGAAATAAAACAAATTCTTGATTCTAGGTTGTACAAGGGAAAGTTACAGTACCTCGTTCAGTGGAAAGGCTACCCCCTTTCAGAAGCTACATGGGTGAAATGTACCAATGTGAGAGCAGATAGATTAATAAAAAAGTTCTACAATAAATATCCTCACAAGCCTCAAGGAAATGCTTAACCTGCTTTTTGTTTCCCCTACAGGAGACTCTTTCTTTTTGAGAGGGGCTGACTGTCAACTCTACAAATGAGCATGGCTGCAGCCATTTTCCTTCTCATTCTAGGTTGCCACATAGAACGGAGGGAGGGGGGTTGCCCAGGTGCTTCGTTAGTCAAAATAGTCTTTTGTCTCGTGGGAACCAAGGTTATCGGCTACTCCCGAGACTAGGGACTGGGCGTTGCATAAAAAGCCTACCAAATAATCATATTGGGGAACGTAGTTACTTGCATAGCTTTTATGGGTGGGACGTTTAACTTTGTATTGGAAAATTATTACTTGTGTATCCAGACTTGGTTTCACTCTTGACCGTGCCGATACTTTGTAACTAATAAACATGTTCTTTGAGGAATTTGCAAGCCTCGGAGTTCTGCTTTATTCGTCTCTATCTGTCGGAACCATGACAAATCCCTTGATTAAGGAGAGAAGTTTGGGGTCCATGCTCAAATCCATGTTTCTTCCAAAGTAGGTCCCTATTTATTGAATCAAATGCTGCACTGAGGTCTATAAAAGTTGTAAATAGTTGGCTCCCTTTTACTGTATATTTTACTATTAAATGACATAAAATGAAGCAGTTGTCAAGAGTGTGTCAATAGTGGAGCGACCCGACCTAAAACCATTTTGCTCTTCTGGAAGCAGGCCCTTTTCAATTACCCAGGAGCTACAGGCCTCCTGTCGATCATTTTGTGGGTCCTCTAGTCCACTACACCTTGGGGCAGTGAATAATTGGCTGTAATATTCCTCCCATGTGGAGGCAGGTACAGGGGTATCCAAGGAGAACTTATGTTCCTGCAATACTCCTGCAACTGAGTGCTAGAAAAAGGCTGGGTTTGAGGTTTTGGTTGCTAACTCTAAAGTTAACCAGAGAGAGGACAAGTGGTGAGACTTCTTGCACTTAATGGTTTTCTTGTA